TACCTATCATAGTCTTACACAGACCCCATAATACATATATGTGCATGCGAGAAAATATTATTCAGCAAACAAAAATAGAAAAACGTTCTGTGTGTTGACAGCACAACAAACAAGAAATATTCGCTACACAATCTAACATTGAATACATATGTTCCCAACAATATGCCCAGTCCCACACTCTTCCCATATGTTTATGTTTGTGCGAGCTCCGGTGAGTAAGCTTTCTCTTAAAAACAGTTTATTATCAGCAAAATAGGTTTCCTAAGTTCAGTGTTATTGCTCTTTCTTGTATTCATGGGAGTTTCCTTCCTCACCTTCTTTTTAAGGTAGTATAGAAAGTAAACATCATGATTATATCATTATTTTCCCCTTCTAGTTACATGTGCTATCCATTTTAGTCATTGCTGTTGTTGGAAGTCTTCAATTGATGTGTTTTTTGTCATTTAATAAAGTTCTTTGCTGATGATACTGTAGCACCTGTCTATAACATCTGACAATGTCTTCTCTAATACTTAATGGATTCATTCATTTGAAGCCATTTTTAATCATTTATTTGAAAAAGCAGTTGTATATAGTTGGTAGTTTAGATATATGGTTTCATGGTAGGCATGATAACTATAAGAGTCCAGATATGACAGAGCTATTTATGAGCATTCTGTATGCATATATATATATATATATATATATATATATATATATATAAATAGATAGATAGAGAGAGAGAGAGAGAGAGAGATAGATAGATATAAGTATAAAAGTGAACATTGTAGTCAACATTCAGAGGTGACAGACTGTTTCATGCTAGATGCCACATGGCCTGACGATTGTGTCTAGCATGAAACAGCCTGTCACCTTTTAAGTGTTGAGTTCAATGTTCACTTTTATATTTGAATATGCTCTATCTCTGATATTTGAGCACTTTATTTCATAAATATAGCACACCTTAAAACTATATTTCATCATATATATATATATATATATATATATATATATAAGTAATGTGTGCTGTATGTTGACCTCAATGTCCACTTTTAAACAGTTGTATATAGCTGATAGATTAAATATTTCTTAACAGTTTGGATGCTAGATATGCTATGTAAATGAGTTTAGATCTGACAGGGCTATTTATTTTATGAGCATTATATATATATATATATATATATATATATATATATATATATATATATATATATATTACCTGTTGATTGTGTTTAAGCATGAAACAGACTGTCACATCATGGTGTTGACCTCAATGTCCATTTTTATATTTACATATGCTCTGTTCCTGTTATTGAGCACTTTAATATAACATACCTTAAAGCTATATTTTTATCATACATATATATATATATATATATATATATATATATATATATATATATATATAATTATTATTTTTTTTTTTTTTTTTTGCAGTGAATAAAAAATAGTGAAAATAATTCTGGATTTTGCACATCAGAAAGCAACTAATAAATTGTTTTACCCAAGAAAATGCTTTTTGCCTCCAGATATTACAAGAAAATTTTCAAAAAGACAATATAAACATTCACTTTTGCACTTTTAGTTATTTTAAAACCATGGATCAAAACTTCCTGAAACACTTAAAACATTCAAATAATTTAATTCAATCATTTATACCCCACATTTCAGACAGACACCTATTTTCATCTTGATTGTCATATCCTCCAATTTTTTTCAGGTATCTGTCATATGCAGGGAACTACTTAGAATTTGCAATTGAACCCCCCTATTTAATCCACTGAACAGATTATTCTCATTCGACTTTCCATGCTGAGGATAAATCACATATCAGTTAATTCTCTCTGTTTGCCTTTGTGCCTCTTAGCTATTTCTGGCACTGAATCATTGTATATGACTTTTATGCATAAGTTGAGCCAATGACACAAAATGAAATAGACAAGAGAGAATTATCTGATACAAGTTATCTCCCTTAAGTATAAAAACCAAAATGAGAAGTATCTACCTCCATGGATTGAGTGAAGAGTCTCATTCAAAATTCCAAATAGGTTACTAAGTACAGGAGACACCTGAAAAATACTGCAAAGTATGATGGCTGAAACACTGTGAGATGAACAACCAAGATAAAAATACTTTCCTGAATAGAAAGATATGTAATTGAGATAATTCCTCATTTCAAAAATTCTCACATAAATTATTTCTTTTTATATATTTTTGGTTTGGTTTGATTTGGTTTGTTTTAGGGCATATCAACCTGAATGGGTTATTTAATGCCAACAAAATTTTTATTGCTGGTAATATGTTTTTCTTCAAATATTTATTTCTGGGAATATTTTTCCTTGAAGAAATCTATAGCTGGCAATATTTTTTTCAAAGAATGTATAGCTGTTTGTATTGCTGGTAATTTTTTTTTTAAATTATTGCTGATAATAATCTTTCCTTCAAAAATTATTGCTGGTAATATTTTTTTATTACAAAGTATTTCTTGTATTAAAACCTATTCTTACACAAGTTTGGGTGTCAACTATTTGCCCATAGCTGGGACCCTAACAGGTGCTACCACCTCAGGTCAGGGTGGACCTGGGAACACCAGCAATTAAGAGGTGGTCCCACTTTCCTCAAAACCTCCTGATCAGAGGCCTTGCTGTTGGACGTAGTTTATCATCTTACCCAGGACGCGGATGTAGTTTATCGTCATACTGAGGATGGATATTTTTGGTATCATGAGGAATATTTTTATATGTGATTTCATGTAATCCACATTGAGAACCAAGGCCAAAATAATAGTGATAGCAAATCTAACAAACTTTATAAATTTCCTTATTTAATCCATTAACATGAAGAATTTTTTATTTTTTATTTTAAGCATTTCACCCCAAGCAAGGTGAGAATGCAAGGGGTTACAGAAAGTGAAAGTGAAAGTGAAAAGAGGGGCATTTGAGGAAAGAATAAACAGAAGAACAGGGATCAAGATCAAGGCATCAGAAGATGTCGATTGACATTACATTGAAATTTTTGAAGATTAGAGTTATCAGGGAAGCAAATAAGAGGAAGGGAATTCCACTGTCATGAAATGTGAGAGAAGAAGCTGCTGGAGTAGAAAAGATGGTTACATTTAACTGCTTGAACAGTAAAAGGGTGGGACCAAGATGCTAACCTAATAGCACACTTAAATTCATGCAGTTGGGGCACCAGTGAAAATAGAGCAGTTGTCATAAAAATATTTGTAGAAAAGACAGAGGGAAGCCACATCACATCAGTGAGAAAGTGACTGGAGTCGAGATGCCATCACATTGTATATCAGTCTTTGGACTTTGTCAAGAACCAGATATATGGCAACAGTATTCAATGCAAGGATGAATGGTAGATTTGTAGATTTGAAGAATAGGCTCAGACAGGAAAAACCTTCTGGTACAACACAGAGAAACAACTTTCCTTGCAATAGATGAAACTATTGATTCAATGTAGTTGTTCCACTTCAGGTCAGTGCAAAATGTGAGAGTAAGAAGACACAGAGAAATGTTCCCATGAAGTTGAGCATTAGCCATGCTGATAGCAGGCAGGGAGGTTTCTCTATGTTAGGTAAATGAGAGCACTTTTGTTTTCGAGGCATTAAAATTTACAATATAATGTCTTTGCAGATTTTATACAATTATTATACATAGATTATTCAATAAACATCTACAGGCAGAGCTTTAGTGATATAATAAATAGTTCATATCATAACTAAAATATATACTTTGTATCAAAATTAATTATGTAACAGCAGGAACTATTTTCTAATTTTGATCAATACTATTTCATCCAGAAATATATGTATGTGTATGTTTATATAATTAATAAATAGTTAACAAAAAAGAGAAAATATACTCATGCATACACATTGATAGGGTTAGAAGTAGTTTGCATGTGTGCATATTTGTGTACATGTTGGAGGCATGCCACATGGATGAGTGACTAAGTCTCCTTGGAAGGGAAAACTGGACTAGTTTTCTTTTTTTTTTTTACAATAGGGTTCACTCTGTACATGGCCTGGGGACCACTCGAGTTAGAGGGTTACATTAAGGGGTAGTTTTTGTATGGATAGAAGGGGAAGATAATAGTTAACTCTAGACATGAACAGGTTAAGATTACAGTGATTGGGAAAACATCCTTGTGGGAGTATGTCCAACAGAGCAGTAGTTCATGGGAAGAAGTTATTTGAATGGGACTTACTTCTTGCTGATGGAATACAGAGAGAATGTGGGTGGTTTACTACTATGTAAGTGGCATGACGGCTCCTTGCCATGAAGAATTAAGGAATATAGTTCACCTGTGCACTTTCAATAGAAGTAGTGATAGAGCTGTGAAAAGCTAACCATCATCTTCCACCTTTATTTGCCTTTGTGTTATTTAGCTTTTTTTTTGGCACTGAACCATTGTATATGACTTTATATATGAGGGTAGAAAATAATTCTTCTACCTACAGTATTCTATAAAGAAAAAAGGGAAAAGAGGAAGAGAGAGATTGTATCTGTTCTTTTATAGTCCTTGGCAACACTTTGGCATGGTGGGTCCTAGCCATGGAGGTTAGACCTGATGGAACTAAGGAATGTAGTTCATCCAATGACTTTCCATGGAAGTAGTGATAAAGCAGTGAGAAACATGCCACATCCCACCTGTGACAGAGAGGCTGGAAGGTGGAAAATAATTCTTCTACCTACAACATTCTAGAAAGAAAATAGTGAAAAGAGGAAGAGACAGCTTGTGTCTGTTCTTTTATAGTCCTTGGCAACAGAGCCAAATGGGTATCTTGGCAGACTAGGTTTTCTTCATAAATTCTACAGTGTAAAAAGACTAAGTGGAAAATGTAAGCAAATGTTAATGATGATTTTTGAATGTTATTTTAATTCTCTTGTTTCAATTCCATTATTAATCAATCAGTAGAAATCATAAACATTTTGTTCACAGCTTAATCATTTAACAAAATTCCTTGATAATTCCTTAATTCCAACCAAAATTCCATGGTTTTTAGACATCACCTCACAGATAGATAAATAGTAGTATGTATATTGCTGTGCCGGAACAAAGCTATAAAGATGAAGGGAAAAATGAACACACATTATAGAATAAAAACTTTCCTATCATGTACAATGCAACATCTCTATGCCAGACATAAGATGTGGCTAAGTTTATTACTTTTTCAACTTTCAAGTTCTGCACTCTCCCACTCTGCACAATCACTTACTTTATTTTTAATCATTTCACCCCAACAAAGGCAATAAAGCCACTAGGATGCAAGAAATTACTTAGTGTTAGAGAATATGAGAAAAAATACTATTGAGGAAGAACGACAATAAAAGAATAAGAATTAAGACAGTTACATATTTGCTATTGTTCTCTCTCGATTTTAAACACTTCTAAGGTTTCAATTTGTTAAGCTGTGCTTTTGCTTTCTTTTGCTGTCTGTTCTTCACCTGATATTTTTTTATCCAAATTTTACTAATCATAGAATACAAATATGTATCATATTTACCATTTATTTTCAATCAGTTTTCAATTTTCAAAATAAAACCTATAATAAATATGATTTGATGCATGTCAAGCTGCATTAGAAAATCTCCAGATTTCCCTGACATGAAACCACATTTCCCTGATTATTCCTTGAATTTTTCTATTACAAAAAAGTCTTCCATTTTTCAATTCCATGACAATTACCTGATTTCTTTGTTTTTTTTCAGATTGGCTGTAAACTCATTATTAAAAGATTCTTGAATATTTAAAAATATGTTTCCAGTTCTACATACTAAATAAATGTGAGCAGACAATATCTGTTTCTATGTGCTGTGTCCCTTCAGAAAGTGGGTGATCATGTCTCTCTACAATTTCCTGTCATTTGTAGCTCTTAATAAATGTTGTCTTTTTGTTATTTCTCCTAAACCTTGTTCTCTCATCCATTTACTCAAGCTCACTAAGTAGGTTATGCATTGTTTTCCTCTTGTTTTCCTTCTTGCTTTCAATCTGTCCTGTGAGTATCAGTTTTTCCAATCCCTCTTTCCTCATTACATGTCCTAGAAATTCAACTTCCTCTTCATGATGTTAAGTATAAGTTTCCTTTTTGTTCCCATTTTCTCTAAAACTTTGTCATTGCTCACATGTCCAGTTCATGGTATTCTGAGCATCTTTCTGTAGAACTACATTTCTGTTGCTTCAAGATTCTTCTTCATGTGTGCAGAGATTGTCTAGTATTCATTGTCATATATTAGTACTAATAGTACATAACAGTACGTCACACTTTTCTTTGTTTCTAATGAAATTATGAAGGCATCATTAAAAGAGTGTCAGAAATGCTTTCCTCTCAAAGAATTCCAGACATTTAGATGTGTATGATCTTTAAAGTTAGATTTTGCTTTATAAAGTTAATTTTAGGATAAATCCAGTCAGCAAACAAAATAAACTTAGTCTTATGAGAAAGTTTATCAGAATAATGATAAGTAATCTTAATAGTCATAAAATGACTGAACCAGGCACTTAAAACCCTGCACTTGTCTAAGATGTGCCACTCTTCATATACTGATGTCTTCATTGATCTTAAAAATGAGTTTGTTTGAAGTTCAGGGCATGATCTTGTACTCAAAGACCAGGCAAACTCTCACCACTTTCTCTTTAGAGGTAGGTCATTATTCTAAAATATTACTTTTTTTTTTCTTTCTCTTCTCTTGTTAAAAATATTTTCCTTCATTTCTTCAAGTTTTGAAATATGGCCCGTCAATATAGTTTTATGTTAGATTTATAAAAGGGTCATCTACAAAAAAAATACTTTGAGACACCAAGTTATATCTTTCTATCATAGTTCAAGTAGATAAAAAAAAATGAATTGAGATATTGTAGATTTTTTTGTAAGCAAGAATTGGGTTGGGTCAGACTTAGTCTTGCTTTCTATTTTAAAGAAATCTCTTTGACAATGGAAACCTTCTGATCCAATCTTCTTTAAATCTCCCAAAACATTAGAAAATAATTTATCAGTAAAGTCTTCTTCTTTATTAAATGTCATACAAATCATTGTCTTCATATATTATATTTAATATGATATTAAACGTTACTAATTTCTCAATTCAAAAAGGTGCTGAGTAAAATTATAAAAATAAAATTTTATCAATTCATTGAAGTCAAATAGAAGTATGAAAATATTAAAGATGTTTATATTATAGATATACATAGATGTAGATAAAAATTGAGAGGTAGATACCAGCACTGACAGAATAGAAATTATGTGAATCATTTTTAGGAATTATTGATTCATTCATTTTCTATAGCTTATCAACTCTTCCCAGGTTATTTAAAGCCAGAAAATAATTAGATTGTAAGAATTTTGCGAGGAGATAACAGTGGTTTAGTGATACATGTTTTACTAATTAACCCATAGCTGGAGTGGGGAGAAGAGGTGGATTCATACTTTTCTTGAATATATTTGCATGTAAGTGAACATAACAAATTCAACAGGAATTGGAACTTGGTTCTCCAGTTAACAATTCTGAGCCATTATCTATTATACCAGCTGCATCTAGGTACCGACCAGGCTCAATATTGCTTAACTTCAGTGATTATATGGGAACTGGTATTTCAACATGATATGGTCATAAGCTTTTTAGGAATTAATGATGATTGTATATTCTCTTTTATCAAAGTTTCATTACAGATGACTGACAAGGTAGTGTGATTAAGCTTTTTATTTAATTTTTAACAGGAATGTTTTAATTTTCAAAACACAGTCAGCACATTGTGGCCATGTTCATAGTTAATGTTATTGAGTGCTGACTTTTCCTTTTTTTATTATTAGAGTTTCCATTATGTTTAATCTTTTTTTACATGCGGATGGGTCTATTATACTATTTACCTTATTCAGACTATTGTCCTCATCTTTGTCGCCATATTTATTACAATGTTTCGGCTGTTGTACACTCCGGCCAACTGAACCCTTTATTTCCCTCACTAATAAATAGCCATAATTGTGCTGTTAGTTTTAGTGTGGACTCTTTTACCATCCTTAGCAGGTCCCACTCTAATTACTACCTAAAAGTATTGGAGACCATCTATATTCTATCATTAAAGCCTTCTTGATGTAAACAAAGGACTTTGTATTAGGCCTCCAACTAATCTACCATCTAACCCCCCACCCCAATAGACTTTGTCTATTTTTCTTTTTGTAAATAATTTACTTTATTAACCTCGATTTAGCTCTGTTGAATGAGGTTCAAAACTGGTTAGCTAGCCTGATTTTTCATTTATATATATATATATATATATATATATATATATATACATGTACATATATATACATACATACATATATATATATATATATATATATATATATATATATATATATATATATATATATATATATATATATATATATATATATATATACATATATATATATATATATATATATATATATATATATATATATATATATATATAAAAGACAAGCATACTGTTTGTGTAAATGCATTCTCTAATTTACATATTCTTGCATTATCTGCAGTGTACTGTTGTTATCCTCTCAGTCCCTGCTTCATTCATCTCTTTGCAATGTTTTCTTTGAGCTCAATCATGCTGTCACAATAATAAGCTAAGTTTGAGATTTGTTTGCCAACTGTGTACAATACATGGCTATTAATTTGAGACAATATTCAATGATGTTGCAAGAAAATAACCTTGCTTTGCATTAGAGTACACAAACAAAGAGATTATTCCATCCAGCAAGTTACAAATTTTTAGAAGAAAAAACAAGATCTGATTTGCGCAGACTTAGACTACAAACTTGACAAACTTTGCTATAAACGGAAACAAAAATAGAATGTCAATCAATTCCAGCAGAGTTTCTGATTTTGAAAGGAATTGTTCTGATTTGCTTAGTTATTTTCCTAATGGAGTCCAAGACTCTGAAGTTTAACAAGAAAAAGAGCAAAGTTTTAAGACTGCATGTCATAAAAGAAAATAATACAAGTACAATTCATAATTGTTGGCTTCTGATGAATATTAAGTTTTCTATTTACTAAAATTCTCTCTTATTTCACTCCTCTCTCTTTTAGTCCCTCTTCTCTCTCTCTCTCTCTCTCTCAATAGATATGCATCAAGAGAGAGAGGGGAGAGAAATGAGTCCTTCACACACCATGTGGGGTATAGGACCACAGTCTCACCACACTAGTGTTGCTGCTGTGGTTTCCAGAATGAGTTTCTAGCCCCCACTTGCTCAAATAGTTTTGAATTCAGAATTATCCTTCTATTAAAGTGGTTACCAAACAAGGCTAGAAAACCAGTTTACCCTGAGAGATATTGACATTAAATTTAACATGAAAAAAAAACAACAGGAAGTGACATGTCATAAAATCAATCACACACACACATGCATATATATTAGAGTGTGCAACTTATATTTTATATCATAAAGAAACAATTTATACAAAGAATTAAATAGCAATGTTAATGTGATTAACTGTGATAAATTGTTTCTTAATGATATATATATATATATTGTTTAAAATTTGTTATATTTATAGGGCAAGCATGCTCAGTATTTGGGGGATAGGTCATTTTTAGATATAAACAGTGTGGACACAGGAATATATATATATAGAGAGAGAGAGAGAGAGAATTGATCTAGAGTAGTTTATCACTTAGCTGAGGTAGTAAACTTTTCCAGATTAATTCTATTAACACTCTATCCTAACATTTGATATTTAGCACTTTATGACAAAAACCTGACTGCCCAGAAGGCTTTTCCACCTGGAAAAAGAACCAACAATTCTGGTACTTAATACTATATATATATATAACAATTCTGGTACTTAATACTATATATATATATATATATATATATATATATATATATATATATATATATATATATACATACATATATATATATATATATATATGTATGTATGTATGTATGTATGTTTTGTGTGTGTGTTTCACTGAATAATACAGACATATTATGTCTATTTATTTTTATAATGATCCTTTCTAGTTCTCTAATCAGTTTCTTAATTTTAAGATGTGATTCATCAAGGAAGGCACCATAG